GACTGTATGGATATAGATACCTTCTGATTTTTGTAGACACATTTTCAGAGTGGACAGAGATCTTCCCTACCAAGAAGGAGACTGCTAACATGGTAACCAAGAAACTCCTGGAGGAAATTTTTCCCAGGTATGGAATGCCCCAGATATTGGGGTCAGACAATGGGCCCGCCTTCGTCTCCCAGGTAAGTCAGAAGGTGGCCAGGCTACTGGGGATTGATTGGAAACTCCATTGTGCATACCGCCCCCAGAGCTCAGGACAGGTAGAACGTGAAAATAGAACCATTAAGGAGACTTTAACCAAATTAACGCTTGCAACTGGCACTAGAGATTGGGTGCTCCTACTCCCCCTAGCCCTTTACCGAGCCCGGAATACTCCTGGACCTCATGGCCTAACCCCGTTCGAGATTATGTATGGGGCTCCCCCACCAATTGTAAATTTCCTTCACCCGGATATCTCCTCTTTCGCCACTAGCCCTACCCTGGAGGCACATCTCCAAGCCCTCCAACTGGTGCAAAAGACGGTGTGGAAACCCCTGGCTGATGCCTACCGGGAGCAACTGAATCGCCCGGTGGTGCCTCACCCATTCAAGATTGGGGACTCTGTCTGGGTCCGATGCCATCAATCCAGGAACCTAGAGCCGAGGTGGAAAGGACCATACACTGTCCTGTTAACTACTCCCACCGCACTCAAGGTTGATGGGATAGCGGCTTGGGTCCACGCGTCGCATGTGAAGGCTGCCAAGGAACCCGACGAAGCTGAGAGCACCGAGACATCAACATGGAAGGTTCAACGCTCTCCAAACCCACTGAAGATAAGACTTACTCGAGAGGGCCCCTGATCCTGATGTACATTCTCCTGGTACTGAAGCCAGGGTTGGCGGGCAGCCCCCACCAGGTCTATAATATCACCTGGAGTATAAATAATCTCCTCACGGGGAAAATCATCAACCAGACATCTGGCATGTCCACTCTGGGAGAATTTTACCCCGACATCTGGTTTGACACCTGTGACCTCACAGTAGACCATAGCATATGCCTATCTATAGACATGCAGCGATCAGACACACGCGACCCGGGCTACTATGCATGTCCCAGAGCAGGAAGGTCCCCCTCAGAAATAAGGCGTTGTGGAGGGGCGGATGTGGGGTTCTGTGGGGCATGGGGATGTGAGACTACAGGTACCACTTATTGGAACCCAAGTTCCTCCTGGGACCTAATTATCCTAAGAAGAACCCCCGACTTTAAGGTAACTGAAATCAATGGAAAGATTGAGGGCACATGCATAAACGGGGCCCAGGGGAGATGCCACCCCCTGATCCTCACATTCACTGCCAAGGCAAGAGAGGAAGCATGGGATAGTCCGAAACCATGGGGGTTACACCTCTACCGGCGGGTCGGAAGAGACCCCATATCCATTTTCACAATGTCCAGAAGTTTCTCCACGGGGAACCCCCCGGTAGCTGTGGATCCTAACCCCGTCCTCCAGGAGCAGAAACCACCGTCCCTTTCAGACAGGACCTCAGTCCCCCTTCACTCTCCCTTAAACAACCCCACTATTTCTCCCGGGACCGACCGCTCGGGGATGCAGTTGGGGACAGGGAGTCGTCTCCTAAACTTAATTCAAGGGGCCTACCTGACCCTCAACCTTACTGCCCCTAACCGAACCCGCAGCTGCTGGCTATGCCTGGTCTCTAACCCCCCCCCCCTACTATGAAGGGGTTTCAGTCCTAGGAAACTTCACTAATCATACGTCACCTCCTCATGGTTGCTCCCAGGCCCCACAGCACAAGCTGACCCTGTCTGAAGTGTCGGGGACAGGGACATGCATAGGCACTGTGCCCACATCCCACCAGGCTTTATGTAACACCACCCAGCAGATCGTTGGAGGATCATACTACTTGGCCTCACCAAACGGCACCTATTGGGCATGTAGCTCGGGGCTGACTCCGTGCATCTCAGTAGCTATTCTTAATCTGACCCACGATTACTGTGTTATGGTTGAATTATGGCCTAAAATTATCTATCATGCTCCTGAATATGTACTTAACTACTATGAAGATAGACACAGGCTCCCCAGAGAACCTATATCCCTAACCCTCGCCCTGCTGATGGGAGGCTTAACTATGGGGGAGTTAGCCTCGGGAATAGGCACCGGGACGGCCACCCTCATAGAAAGTACACAATTCAAACAGTTACAGATGGCTATGCATACTGATATCCAGGCCCTAGAGGAATCTGTAAGTGCCTTAGAAAAATCCCTTACATCTCTATCTGAGGTTGTTTTACAGAATAGGAGAGGGCTAGACATACTCTTCCTACAAGAGGGCGGGTTATATGCTGCCCTCAAAGAAGAATGCTGCTTCTATGCAGATCATACTGGAGTAGTCAGGGATAACATGGCTAAATTAAGAGAAAGATTAAAACAGAGACAACAATTATTCGAGTCTCAACAGGGATGGTTT